GAAAAGAAAAAAATATATAAAGAAGTGACTTCTTGCTTTATCTCAACTAATATAAACAATTTTAGTAACTTACCACCTTCTCTTAAAATACAACAAATGTTCTCTTCTTCCCATATCTGATCTCTTATCTATAAACAAATGCATAAAACCTTGTCATTTCAAGCCTGATGTCAGCAAAAGTCCATTAAGAGTTACCAGAGATAACAGCTTATCCATTTTAATCTTGATCAAATAAACCAACATTATATTCCTTCCTTTTTCTTTTAAAAATCTTCAGTCCCTTCAAATAATGTCCTAGAATTTGATTTCTTTTCATTTTTTTCTTTGTCCCTTCTCACATAATTCTTCAAAGCTTTAACAAGCCTCTTTTGTAAATCTAAAAATCTTCAGTCCCTTCAAATAATGTCCTAGAATTTGATTTCTTTTCATTTTTTTCTTTGTCCCTTCTCACATAATTCTTCAAAGCTTTAACAAGCCTCTTTTGTAAATCCAATATGGGAAAATTATCCAGGTCACTCTCTTGGTTTGTTATTTGCATATCCCTTTTAATTATTAAGACATCACCCAGTTTCTTTTGTATGTCCAGTGTAACATCTTTTTCCATGTCATTCTTGTAGCCTATCATTTTTAAATCCACTTTCAAATCAGTCTCCATCATGTCAGGTAATAGTTGTTCCTCTTCCATAGCATCTTTTAAACACAGTCTATCTATAGAGGTAGACACTCTTAAAATTATTTTCTGGGTCCATTATTCGAAAATATCCTTTAGTATGCCCAATGTTACTTTTTTTTTGCTTCATTTTGTATTAGAAATTCGAGTTTGAGTACTCATCTCCTTTAATTGTAATCTTTAGTTCCTTTTAGCTCCCTCTAGTGTCCATTTTTTAAAGTCAATTTTTTTTTAAAGAATTAAAAAAAAAGCATTTTCCCATGGGAAGGATTCTTATAATTAATTCCAAAATCTTACTCCAAATTTATCTGGACCCTTAGTCCATTTATAACTTTCCAAAATCAAAGTCCAAATTTATCTGGACCCTTAGTCCATTTATAACTTTCCAAAATCAAAGTCCAAATTTATCTGGACCCTTAGTCCATTTATAACTTTCCAAAATCAAAGTTCTAATCACCCTTTTGCTGTTTATTCCAAAATCATTTTTTTGTCCTTAAACTTGTATTTAAAACTTCTTTTGCTAAGGATTGAAGGAAACTCCCCCGGTATGTAAAACTTGTTGAGCCAAAGGTTCCTAATAGCTGAAAATCAGTTAAAAAGCAATTTCTGAAAGTGATTAGAAAAGGAAGTATGCAAACCCAGTATCCTTAAAGGCGCTGACCATGGTTTGAGCAAGATGGCTATTCCCTTGTCTCCCAGAGCTCTAAACTTGCTGTAGACCGCTGTCTTGTGGTCTCCTTGCAGAGACTAACTGTTGGGAGCACTTGTGGGCAATCTCAAGTCCTCTCCTTGTCCGGACAAGAATCGCAAAGAGCCACTGGCTCTTCATTCTGCCACGGTTGTTCAGTTCACCATTTCTTCCCCAGAAATTAAGGGATTCATGTTAATTTTTGCCCCTTCAAATAATAGTTTGTAAGGGTCCTGTATGTGATATCTGAATACAAACGTAGGTTGCATTCAGAGAAAAGAGACTGAAATTGTATAAAATTGTAGATCAGTCTTTATTTCATGTATGATTATTAACTTCCTAATATATCCAAAGTCATGCTTGCATGGAATGTGCAGATTTGAGTTTTTATTGAATTTCTATCCATTTTGTATCACTCTGTATTATAGAAGGGCAATATGAACAATTTGGATGCTTTAGCTGTACCTTTCAATCCACTTACCTGGATATAAGCTTACTGACCTCAATGGGGCATATTTCTGAGAAGACGCATAGGATTTTGCCAGAAGTTCCTTAAGATATAACTATGTTAATTACCTTTTCAAAACATGAACATTTGTATGCTATTTGGTTATTAGTTACATATCATTGTTGACATTTCAGTTTATGGAATAATTTTAATAATTTAATTATTTGTTTCAATTATGACAGGATTAATGCCACAAGGTATTGTAATAGGAACACTTCTGGGGATGGTGCTTTATGTTCGCTTTAGTCCAGATGATCAGATTGTGGCAGTATGTGCGGGTAATCGAATATACATGCTAAATGCAAAGGTAAGATCATATTAGAAAATGCTTCCACTGGAATTCCCACTGGCATGACTATTAATGCACACATACATAGACAATCAGGAATAGCCTTTAAAAGAGTCATATCCATATCCTCCAGCAGATTCCACTGCTTTAATGGAGTGGGAAAGGTCGCACCGGTGTGATTTGGAAGGCTTCCATTCCAAATACTTTTCACGGCCCTACTATAGATTTATTTTAAAATGCTTTGCACAGCCCTATTGCATATGTAGTATATAAAGTAAATACTTACATATACTGTTTCATAGAATAAGCGGAAGTTGAAAGCAGTTTTTATTCTTTTACAAAAGAGGAATATTTTTTCATTTGATAGACAATGTGGTAGTATTAGAGGGTATTCCCAATAAACTTTTGCAACCCCATAGAACAATAAAACTGCTTGCTTTATCATGCAGCATTTTCTTACCTTATACATAAGCAAGATCAAAGTGCCAGCTTCATGATACTAGCAAGACCCACATTCTTTATTATATAATATCCTCCCTGAGTCTAAAGGAAGCTTTGAACTATAAGTCAGATGTCTCCAGTTATGTTGCTTTATTCAAGGATAAGTTAATAAACTCATTCAGACTTCCACATGTTCATAGAATAAGAAGAATCACACTATAATAACAATATAAAGGTTAAGTCACAGGTTATCCATGTATTTGATTAATTGATGCCTATGTGTAATTTGCTTGGTATTTGTGCCTTTGATAAACTAATGCCTAAGGGAACAAATGCATT